CCCCCCCCTTCCCACCACCACCACCAAACCAGGCGGTTATGTTACAGTTTCATTGTGCATTCTGGGGGAAATTGGTCCTGTTCGAGTGCTTTGGAAGCTTGGATAATAAATGCATAGCCTGACACAACAACGCTTCCTTCCGTTTAAGCACCAGTACACAGCCACACATTGGCTGTGGGCCCCTCACCGAAACTTTCGGAGGCTGGAAACATGACAAAGGCCATTGATGGGCTGCGCTGAAAGGTTGCAGTGGTGGGAACGAGTTCATGTTCTGCAAGGCGGGGGCTGTGTACTGGGTGTTTAAGGCCGAAGGACCCCTGAACAGCTGTCAATCCTCCCTGACCAGAAGTAATTAAAGCTTTGGCATGATATCTTTACGGAGGGCTTTCTCACTTCGAAGATTGGAATTATAGCTGTACCTGGTGTAACCAAATCTTTGTGTGATGTCTTTGTGGAGGGAATGGACAACGATCTTACTGTATACGAGGTTTTGTGGACTGTACGCCGAGGGCGAGGAGATGTGTCACTCGTGGACGAAGACCTTGGTGGAGTTGAACAAGGGAGTTTGCCACACTTTATGTTATGCAGTCTGCCACACATTACATTGTGCATTCAAATGTGTATTTGATGGATGGATGTTCCTTCACTAGAATAGAACAAGAGAGTATGTCAGATATCATGTTGTGCATTGGTATGTACAGCTCGTTAACGTGCCATTTCGTTCATGGTTTCTGGTTACCTGTAGTGCTGCTGCACCAGCACGGCCGCCAGCGAGGGAGAGTGATCGGCAGGAAAACTGGCGACGACCAGCAACTGAGAGCGCTGTACCACCTGGTCCGGCAGTGCCAAAGGGAAGCAATGGAAGCCCTGCGCCTGTCGTCCAGGTTCAGTCATCCCTGGTGGATCCCCCGAGGTGAGTTGTATGATGTACTCAGAAGTGAGGGAAGCACACCTTTCCTTCGTGTGGAAGGTGGTAATCTCCTTTAGTGGCATCTTCTGCGAGCGGTCTTGAGAAATATGATTGCGCTTCTTGTTGTAGCAAACGCAGATGTGTAGCTAGGGAGCGGTATGTTTTGGCGATTGTTTAGCAGATACCTGTTGTGTATTGTGCTGCAGAAGAAGTTGGTTTTCGTTAGTCTTTGCTCCCCTGTTGCGTTGGACAGTGGAATCGCAACTGACAGAAAAATCACGTTGTGCCTGTCTTGGATTCTGCAGGAGCTCTACCCGGGACAGCCGCTATGGATACACTTCGGCAGCTTCGTCCCTTCAACTTGCGGAGGCATTCTCGCGGTCAACGTCTCTCAGCTCGGTGGGAACTCGTGCGGTCCTAAGCAGTGGGCCCAGTCGAAGTGGTGCTCGTTCTGGGAGTCCGTTTGCAGCAGGACCTACACCCCCATCTCAATGGGGTCCGCCACCAAGTGGTGCTCATGGAGGTGGCCGGAGCCCATATGGAGCAGGTGGAACGGGGAATTACGGGAGTAACCCGGACACACCATTTTCCCGACTTGCCGAAGGCCCTCAGCAGCAGCAGCAGCAGCAGCATCTTGGTAGAACTGCAAGTTTACCAGTTCCAACCTATGGCAGTGCTGTTATGGGAGGGACGAAGCAGGAACGTTCAGACAATGGATTTGGTAGAACTAGTAACTACAGCGGGCGGCCTCTGACTGGGCCCAGCAAAATTGATGGCACTTGGGGACCAAAAGATGCTGGAGGTAATCCGTTCCCGGGGAAAAGGGTACTCCCTCTGCGACGTGAAGATGGGTATTAGCAAGTCCCAGAGATCATGTATCGATTGCCTGCCTGGACAGACTTCTTGCGTTGTGCAAATGGTGACTCACCGGTGGTAATGATGGTGTGATAAGTGAATCATGCTTGCCAAAGATGTTGCATGGGTCTGATGCAGAAGGCAGGCAGTAATTATGTTGGATAGTGTGGGTGCCGCTGCTAGTCTGCAAGGTTGCTCGAATGGCTGTGTGGTGGTGCAGAGAGTAAAAGCGTGCGCCAGTTCTAGTGCAATGGCGACAACCTGGTGCTCGATTCTCGAGAAAGGGGAGCGTCTTCACTCTGCCGACGGTGTGGTAGTTCGTTCACCCATCCACTGAATGATTGTCTTGGCAGGGTCTACATGAGAGTTAACTTTGTGGTGGTGGTCGATGCAAGCGGCACGTGACAGGTTTTCGTTTGAAGATGGTACGGAAAAGAGATTGGATGAAGTAGCTGCATGTGTGGCGGACCACGCAGTCTGTGGCATTGTCAGATATGTTAAGCAGTGCTGGTCTCTGCTTATTGTAATGCTGACGTCAGAAGTGGCCAGCTCTTCAAGTGCGTTGTAGGACATGCTGGACGTTTGTGAGGATGATCGATTCCTCTTGCCAACCCTTCTAACCCCTTCTATTCCAGGATTTTCTGCTTCACTCTTCCCTTCCCACTGTGCTCTCTTCTCTTTCGTAACTCTTTCCTGCTTCGGGTTTTCGTTGGGCCGCTGGTGAATCGTCTACTCCAATGTTTAACTGGTCTTCCATACTTGGATCGTTACATAGTTGCAAGGCACCTGTCTTGGTATTCGACATCCGTCCGTTATATTAAAACCCCCTCCCTGTGCTTTTTGCTCCACCGCTGTTCTTGGGACGCTAAGATTTCCTCGTTTCAGCTCGGGAAGTTGTTTGGTATGGGGTGGGGGCATCCATCTCCACTTCGTCGAGCTTGATTATCTCGCGACTCTAGTAAAATCTGGTTGCTGCTGTGCGATGTGAAGGTGCATCATGCAAGCTCCCCATCAGAGAACCGACTTTCATGGAGTGGGTATACCCGAAAGTGGTGAGGCCGAGGAGGTAGCAAGGTGTACGTGCTGAGGGATTACTAGTCTTTGTTGGATGAAAGTGGATGTTGTTTAAGGGACCACCGTCTCATGGGTTCAGGGTCAGTGAGGGGACAGTCGACAGTCTAATGTGTGATGCAGCGGTGGGAGAGTGGTGGGAAGGGGGAGGGGTAAAGGGAGGGAGGGGGTGGAGGGAGGGGAGGCAGGAAGTGGGATAATGTGCTGGACAAGATGGGTTGTCGCACTTTGAGATTCTGCGTGAATGTGTCTCCATGCTGAGTGTTTGCTTTCGGAGGCTGCCATGTACCGAGTTGATTGCGGTCGTGTTGGGTGGAACTGTTTTCCAATGAGTTGAAGAAGAGGAAAATCATTTGTCTGTTTCCTGATAAGTACATGCCCAGCGCGATGGATTGTGAGTGTTACGGATCTGGTGTGAAGTGGTGTGCCATCTGTGTATGAAGCGAGTTCATGCGGATTTTGCAGTGGCTCTCCACCTGTTTGAAGGCCTCTTACCACGGTCTTGGTTTTCATGAGGGGAAGACCTTTTGAGGTTTCTAAGAAGGCACTGGAAAGGAGTGCTTGGACTCTTAAGGTAGAGGGAAAGGGCATGCTGAGACACAAGGATGTCGGGAGGGTGATGAAGTGCGGAAGGGTTTGTGCTCGTCAGAGAGATGCAATTTTTCAATATGCAAACTTTCTTACATCATCTTGGCTCTTATGTTTGTCATTCCAATTTTTTGACGCAGTCTATTATCCGTCTGGTTGTGACTGAAAGTCTGTTCTCTGTGTTGCAACCAACCTGTCAAGTGGGTTTTTTTCTTGCCAATGTCCATAACCTGAACGCTTCCCGTTGTGTGGGAATTCGGCGTTCTGCTTGTTGCGTGTGCGCTCTTAGGCTTTGGCGTATTCCCACTCCGTAGCAACAGGAGAAGCGTGTTATGTGCCTGATTAAAAACGAATCCAGCATGGCAGTCACACCTTCTTCCAATACACAGACTTGGAGAGAAACCCACACCACACCAGATGAGGAGAGAATACGCAGCAGAAGCTCACAAAACCCAAAATAGAATTGAAATTAAACAATTGATTCAGTTCTAACGTCTAATTAAACCGTCTTTTTCAAGTTCAATTAGCAGCACCAAAATTCCAAGGATCCCAACCACGTTGTCAACATCCGCGAACCACCTATTTACAGAGTTTCATCAAGTAAGGGAGACTTCTTCTTCCTCCCAACCTCGAGCTCACAGGTGTGGCGCAGGCCTGCACCCAAACTATCAAGCCCACCAATCGCCATCAACCCTCCTGAACCCGACCTATCAAGCCCACCAATCGCCATCAACCCTCCTGAACCCGACCTATCAAGCCCACCAATCGCCATCAACCCTCATGAACCCCGACCTATCAAGCCCACCAATCGCCATCAACCGTCCTGAACCCGACAAGCCACTCAGCAGTCCAATCTCGATGCCCACTGCAGATGACATGTCCGCTCAACAGGGGAGGGTAGCTCCTAGGACGAGGTTGAAGAACACCAGCACTTGGTGAAGAAGAGATGGCTGCCGCTTCACACTTCGAAGAAGGGTCTCGATGGCCGTGCTGCCTATCCCCAACAACACAGGTAAGAGGAGGCGCCTCACAGAGCACTGGGCGGATGAGCTAGGTAGCCCCAGCTATGGCTACCTGCCCTCACAGCATGAAGATGGCGCTGTAGGTAAGATAGCGCAGCACCAAGCAAGGCACGACCTCCAGCAACACTTACTGGAAAAAATGACGAGACAGAACCCCTTTTTCCTTGCGCTGGACACTATTGTAGACTGCTGTTTTCCCTGACTCGACAGCCAATAGCCCAGGACCGAATCTAGACCTAGAATTGGCTGAAGGGGAGGATAAAAACGACCTACAACTCGACGGTAGAAAGGACAAAACAGAGAGATCTAGTGGTATTGAAACTAACCTACGGAGACAACCCCGAACAGACCTAGGGATCAAGCCCACTTGGGCTCGCCCGCATGCCATCGCAATTCATTGCATTCCTATCCTCCCGGGGAAGCGACGACCGCGAGCTAGGAGTATCCAAGAGGAGAATGCCGCAGGGGTTGCCCTTTCTGTTCAGCACGCATGACTGAATTTGCATACTTGAGTTCTTTCCTTGTGAGGCATCGGTCCTCTGCTTGAGGTTGGAAAAGGAACTCCACAAGGTGTTCACAGTTGGGGCCTGTGTCCCACTGATCCTCTAACCTTGACTTCATATCCTTTCCTAGGGACAGGAGGTCCAAGCTGCTGTGTCCTATCAGGAAATGCGTTGGCAGGAGTGAAAGGCAGAAGGTTTGAGGCATGGAAGACCGGATAGGTCTTGATATGAGAGGGTATCACAAGTGTGTAGGAAGGTCTGAATGGATCTGCCACCACAGTATCAAGCACCTGCTATAGGCCGTAGTAAACAGGCAACAACTTTCGTGAGATATCTTGTTCATCAGGTAGCGCAGATCTTTTCACCCGGACCCAGTGACCTGGCCGTATAGTAGGAGAGTGATGCTTGATAGACTGTTCGATCATCCTCTTCTGGGCCTTGAAGATACTAGTTCTAGCTTTTTCTAGGCCTTTGTCGTAGCTTTTTTAGCGTTAGGAGTCAGTTTAGGATTGGACTTAGGAATCAGATCATTCAAGGCTGTTTGGGGTCTCTTGCAAAGTGCAGGCTATAGTGTGTAAGAGCATGTGGTGCTGTGAAAAGTTGTATGACATCAGCTGTGGCTTGGACAAATGTTTGTCCCAGTCCTGCTGATTTGGCATTATATACAGGACGCAGCAGCTGAAACAAGACCTGATTTAGCACTTGAGCCTGTCGGTTGGCTTCAGGATGTCTCCTCGAGGTCATGTCCAGTCTGGAATGCTCGTAGTCTTTGGAGAAAGACTGCCAGACATCGCTGCAGAATCTGGAGTCGAGGTCATGTCCAGTCTGGAATGCTCGTAGTCTTTGGAGAAAGACTGCCAGACATCGCTGCAGAATCTGGAGTCTTTGTCACTGACAATGGAGGAATGGGAACCCACGGACATTCATTCACCCAGGTCTCACAGAAAAGCTCTCTGACCAGAGGTACTCTGGCCTCAACAGGTAAGGGGATATAAACTCAACATACTTAGAGAATCTATTGATATAGACCATTAACTGTCATCTCACGTGGAGTGGTTTCGCCCGACTTTGTGACGTCAATGGACACAGATTCCCCTGGGCCGTCAGGGATAGGTAGAGGTTTGAGTAGTCCTATAGGAGGCCGTTTGTGGACCTTGTTCCTTTGACACAACTAGCAGGTCTCCAAGTAGTACAGAATATCGTCCTTCCAACTTGGACCGATAAAACCGTTTGGTCAGGGCGGCATACGTCTTTAGAACCCGAAGTGATCACGAACATCATGACTCTTTGAAATCAGATAAGTAATGATCTTGCTATCATTAGGATACACATACACCCCCCCTCGCTGATTATGTACAACAAGCCTGAAGTCAAGGCATAACCTGACCCAGAATTGGGGTTGTTTGTAGCTTCCTCATGACGAGGCTAAAGACTGGTGCCTGTTTGGTGTAATCAGCAAAGGAGCAAGTATCAACAATGGCAGCAAAGGAATCAGGTCTACGTGATAATGCATCAACAATCGTGTTATAGCATCCCTTCTTGTGCTTCAGTTCAAAATCAAAATTGTCTATACACTGAATATACCTCGCCAATTTATCTTTTATTACACCTTGGGTCTTCATCCGTTGTAGAGTGTAGTGATCATAATAAATCTTGAAGTGTCTCCTAAGCAAGAAATGTTTGCACTGTTTGAGGGAAACATTTGAGAGCATACAATTTTTTTTCGTAAGTAGCTGCCTGAATTTTTGCACCTTTATCGTCTTACTCGTTAACTCTGCCGGTTTCAGACCAGTTTCATCATCTTGCTGAAGAACTGCACCAACGCTGTATTGACTTTATATCTGTGGTTAACACAAATGGCAAGGTAGGGTCATGCAGTTTCAGCACAGGTGCTTGGGTGAGTGTTTTTTCCAATCTGGAGAAAGTTAATTGACATGTGGCTGTCCACCTGAAGGGAACATCCTCAACTAGCGGATTTGTCAGCGGTGTCGCAATAGAGGAAAAAATTCTGATAAACTTCCCGTAGTAAGAGGTTAACCCTATGAAAAATTTGATGTCCCTCATTGTTTGTGGTTGTGGTCATTCCCTGACAGCAGCCACCTTAGACAACCCGGGGGAAAAACCATCTAAAAAAATAGCAAAAATCATATGTACCAAATACACAATAAAAAAGGCACCAAAAAACGAATTTTCTTTGTTAATATTGTATTTGTTCTCTTAGAATCCACAAAATCTTTCTGAGATGATCAGCATGGTCTTCAACAACTTGCTGAATATCAGAATGCCATTCAGATACACCAGAATGAACTTATCCATATATGGTTAAAAAATGCGATTCATTTCAGTTTGGAAAGTACTTAGCGCATTGTACAAACCAGACGGCATGACTAGGTACTCATAGCTGTCATACCGGGTTTTAAAGGCTCTCTTCTTGTACACATCCTCTTTAGCGATTTCGATACCTGGATTTCAGATGAATTTTGATGAAGACTTTGCAACGCTGCGCCACGTCCAACAAGTGATCGATCATAGCCAAGGCCCTCACAGTGGGTGGCAAGGCCTGGACCTCGCGTGTACAGGGCGTTGCATGAAGTACAGGGGAATCTTGTACAGACGGTGCAGTAGATCGTTAGTGTATTTGTTTGCACAGAAGAAAAGAGGGGAGAGCTCTTGGAGAGGTGAACGATAGACTGGACGACTGTGGTTGGTGTCAGTTCAGTTGTGATTTGGACACTCTGCTCTGCTCTGCACATGGTGATTTGCATGGAGCCAGAGTGCGCCAATAGCCAATTTGCAATCTTGTTTGGATTGACATTGTTTTTGTTTTGCGATCCGAGGTTTCATTTAAATGGACATCATGGCTGGCCACACTAGGTCGAAAACTCGAAGGTGAATAGTGAAACCAAGGTTTGCGTTCAAAATTCCAACGTTTCTATTTTCCACTTTCTGTCACCTCTGGGACTCGGCCCAAGCGAAGGACCAAGGAGGAGGTGGTAATGTGACTTTCTGAATCATGTAAGGATGTATGTGGGGAGTCAGTCTGCAATGCAAATGAATAATCATGTTTTATCATGTATGAAAAAAAAAGTGGAAATGTCTTAATCAACAAGCTTGCAGTTCCGGATGATTGCGAGTATCGGCGCCTTGCTGCACTAAACAATGTAAACATTTTACATGCAGTTGGACGCCTTTCATGATCAGGTGCTTTCGAAAGAGTCCAGCATTTTTATTTATCTACTATCTGGATGATTGCGAGCTCCTGATTCATATAGAGTGTTGTGCAGTGGAGTGAGGCCCGATGTTGGATTCCAAGGGATATGGTTCTTTCTGAAGTGGATGATGTGAATCTTTGGCTGTCAACGAGTAGAGGGTGCGTTTTTTTTTTTTTTTTTTTTTGAATCATCACGGTCTGCGATCGTTTTGTGTGTGGAACTTCCAGTGTTTGCAGTGGCTGGCTTCAGCAGTTGTGTTGTACGCATTTTTAGTCTGGTCATTATAGCTACCTTGTTTTTTTTTTTTTTTTTTTTTTTTTTTTTTTTTTTTTTTTAACCCCCCCCCCACCAGTGTTAGTGGTGCTTATAAGAGCAGACACCACTAGCACCTG